GTGGAGAACTTTTGGCGTCCTCGTGTTCCACTGGTGATCCCAATTGGCGGTATCCGCTGTCCGCCGTTGCTCTGGCTCGGGCCGTCTCGTGGTTGGGCGGATACGGACGGCCAAACAAAGCCAGCGGTCCGCTGAGCTCTTCGTGTTTCCAACCTGTAGCCGGATAACCGGGCGTGTTTGCGCGGCTGCCGCCGCAGATCGTATCGACGCTTCCCAGAACGCCTCTCCCTCAGATGCGCAGTGTGTCCCCATCGCGTGCGCGGCGCTCGTGTCGGCGCGTGCCGGCTCGGCCGGAGCTCGTGTGCGACGACGACTGTCCGCGTCGGTCACGTCCGGGACGCGTGGTCCGTCTTAATGAAGTCGCGCTGCTTTAGTGTGGGATCGGTGGTCTTCCGGTCCGGTCGGGCGTCGGGCGAGATGGCGTGGCCGAACTGGTCCGGCTGGGTATCGGCGTGGTCAGCTGATCGTGACCGGCGTCTGGCTGGCCTCAGCGTAATAAAGAAGTGAGTGGGATTTTTTGATAGCATTAAACACCGAAATGTAATGAATTAATTTTGATAAGAATAGCCAACATTGGAGCCGTCTGTAAGGCTGTCCGCCATCCGACCTTCAGATACTCCGCTCTCATGCTGTCGCATCCTCCCACCATTCCTGCCGTTCCTCAGGCGCTGTTTGCACATTATGCCACACAATGGGCATCTCAAGTTATCAGAAACGAATGGGGCGAGGCTTCAGTGGGGAGCGAACACAACCACGATACCAAGGCAACCGCTCGAGACCGCCATTCGTCGACGAGTCCGGAATCGCCGAACATTCGACTTAGAGCTGGCTTGCGCGCCGGCCCTGACACCCTGAGCGTGTTCGGCAGGCCGGTGACGCCCGGCCGACGCGGCGGCGCGCCACACGTCCGCCGGGCTCGCGCATCTTCGTCGTGTCCGGCGGCCGCGGTCGGCTGGGGTCAGGGGCGCCCGGCCGGGCGCTCCTGCCAGCACGCTCGTCGGGCGGTGTTGGCGTCAGGGCCATGTTGAAGAGAATGTTTCGCATTTGGAGATGTTGAAGCCAGCATCAGATATGATGAAACATGCCAACGTATAACTATTGGTATAATTGGAAACGACAGCCCAGGACAATGAAATTTATCCATTTGGTGAATATGCATTCCTGTGAATATTAAATATTTAGTAAAAAATGACGCATGATTTTGAGGCAGCTTATACCGAAACATTGGTTTAATTAAGCATGACCGCCTGGAAATACAGCAGGGGTGTGGCGCAAACAGTCTAAACTGCTGCCTACCACACTCCGGCTGAATCATGGACTTCGCGCAGGCACGGAAGTCGCCAGCAGGTCCGATCGGTCCCAGAGATCCGTAAAATCATGACCGGCTCTCAACCTCGGAAATGTCTGAGCAGAGCGGCGTAGTTTCGCAAAATGAGTTTGTATTTTTGTGTTCGTATTTGTCTGCGCGAAAACCATCCACCAGAGTTCTCAACGTTCGCTAGCTTGGGTTCGCTACGTCGGTCACTCACTCGTTATAACACGTTGCAAAAAATACGTTAGTAGACGATGCTACGAGTTATCCTGTAAGATACGATCTTACGAGCTAAACTGTAAAATGTGATCTTACCAATTAGAATACAGCATGCGATCTTACCACCTAGACCCTAAAATATGATACTTTAAGGTACAATCCGATAAAATACGGTACGATTAAATACGATGCTATAAAATACGTACGAAGTGGAACGACGAAACCAGTAAATGTTCTGAATTGATAACAGAAGTGCCAAACCCAGCGTGCACTCACAAAGATGAACGAAAATAAATTGTAGGTACATGAGATCCGCATTGGCTTGCAGAACCGCGCACGTGCATACATATGTCATACAATCAGACAGGTAACCAGCATGAGCTTCAAACTAAGACGCCTGGCCAGATATTTGCGTATTGGAATGCGAGTTTGTAATCCTTGAGAAGTCAAAGATGAAAACATAGCGGTGGTTGCAGGCAGCTGGCTCCCAGCTGCCGCGGTACGATGAGGAACGGCTCGCCTGGTGGATTCCAATCAGCACATGGGCAGGTGGAGAGACATTGACGTGGAGGAGCGGATCGCCCTGAGTGACACAGAGCGACCTGGCTTAAAAGGAGGTGGGAGTAATTCGCTGGGCGTTAGCGGCAGGGCCAGGGCGGGGCCGACGCTGCGCGGCCCCATCGACTGCAGTGTTGCTAAGTTTCGCGAGTACGCATGCTCATAACTGTGTTACATAATTGTCATCACCTATAGATTTTCAAATGATGCTGAGCATTGCCAGACAAACAGGGTTGATCATGTACCTACAAATAGTTTACCTATATTTGGGGTGAAGGTCTTACACCATCAGGGGAGGGGGCTATGTCACTCCCCCCCCCCTTCCCCCTCCAACCGTTGCCAAAGTTCTGGCTATACCCCTACAGTGGACTTAAATCCAAGCATTTTTCTGAGATGAAACGCCACTTTGCCGACTGTCCTTCTGCCCTAGCAGCTGCCACCATAGCCCTCACTTGTACTTCAAACTTACCGAAAGGTGACAGCGTGGTCTTGGAAGGGTTTGCTGGGCGAGATATCGTTATGTTTTGTATTTTGACCCTTCCTCATGGTACTCTCGCATATTTAGCCACGAGGTTAAGAAGTTAACTTGTCGCATATTCCGTTATGGCGCTGTTCAACGTTATTCGATTACCAGTCTCCTTTCCGTAATAACTAGGAACAATGTTCTTGCACAATGTTGCACGACACGTAAGACGTGATTGGTACGAAGTACTCAATGTCGGTGGGATGCTTGACGTCAGTACTATTTGGAAGTTGTGGTCTTGGACGCCAGGTGTAAGAGGCCCTGCGGTGATGCTAGTATTGACTTTGATCGCGGTATGGATGGAGGGACGGTAGGACTGTAGTCACGCTGCTATGGTGTCATGCCTGCGTGGCTTGGAGATGGGTGGAACGCTTTCGTGGGAGTGCGGCCCTCAAAGTACAGGGTTTGTGTTGCAAGAGGAGCAGGGCTGTGAACGGCACGGAATGATCTTCAAAATGTTTGTTCCGGTCCAAACCCCGGGCAAATTTGGAACACTCCTGTTAATGGATCGGCGGCACCGAAGCAGTCGCGTCGGGAGTGCTCGCCGTGACTGTGTTGGTCGGGCCGTGGCTGTGGCTGTGTTATGTGGGACCAGGACCCTCGTGTTGAGTTGCTGGTCGTGACTGCATTGGTCGGGCCGTGGCTGTGGCTGTGTTTTGTGGGATCAGGACGCTAGTGTCGAGTTGCTGGTCGTGACTGTGTTGGTCGGGCCGTGGCTGTGGCTGTGTTTTGTGGGATCAGGACGCTAGTGTCGAGTTGCTGGCCGTGACTGTGTTGGTCAGGCCGTGGCTGTGGCTGTGTTATGTGGGGCCAGGATGCTCGTGTTGAGTTGCTGGTCGTGACTGTGTTGGTCAGGCCGTGGCTGTGGCTGTGTTATTTGGGGCCAGGATGCTCGTGTTGAGTTGCTGGTCGTGACTGCATTGGTCGGGCCGTGGCTGTGGCTGTATTATGTGGGACCAGGACCTTCGTGTTGAGTTGCTGGTCGTGACTGCATTGGTCGGGCCGTGGCTGTGGCTGTGTTTTGTGGGATCAGGACGCTAGTGTCGAGTTGCTGGTCGTGACTGTGTTGGTCGGGCCGTGGCTGTGGCTGTGTTTTGTGGGATCAGGACGCTAGTGTCGAGTTGCTGGCCGTGACTGTGTTGGTCAGGCCGTGGCTGTGGCTGTGTTATGTGGGGCCAGGATGCTCGTGTTGAGTTGCTGGTCGTGACTGTGTTAGTCGGACCGTGGCTGTGGCTGTGTTATGTGGGGCCAGGACCCTCGTGTTGAGTTGCTGGCCGTGACTGTGTTGGTCGGACCGTGGCTGTGGCTGTGTTTCGTGGGACCAGGATGCTCGTGTTGAGTTGCTGGCCGTGGTTGTGTTGGTCAGGCCGTGGCTGTGGCTGTGTTATGTGGGGCCAGGATGCTCGTGTCGAGTTGCTGGTCGTGACTGTGTTGGTCGGACCGTGGCTGTGGCTGTGTTTTGTGGGATCAGGACGCTAGTGTCGAGTTGCTGGTCGTGACTGTGTTGGTCGGACCGCGGCTGTGGCTGTGTTTTGTGGGATCAGGACGCTAGTGTCGAGTTGCTGGTCGTGACTGTGTTGGTCAGGCCATGGCTGTGGCTGTGTTTCGTGGGACCAGGATGCTCGTGTTGAGTTGCTGGCCGTGGCTGTGTTGGTCAGGCCGTGGCTGTGGCTGTGTTATGTGGGGCCAGGATGCTCGTGTTGAGTTGCTGGCCGTGGCTGTGTTGGTCAGGCCGTGGCTGTGGCTGTGTTATGTGGGGCCAGGATGCTCGTGTTGAGTTGCTGGCCGTGACTGTGTTGCAGGATCGGCGTGAGCTGGACGCCTGCGTCTGACTATTTGTCGGCATGTTTGCCGTATCGCTGGTCGGGCTGTAGCCATGTTGGAGCAGTGCGTCGTGGGAGCTGGACGGCTGTGACAGGCCGTGTGTTCGGACTGAGGCCGTGTTGGAGGTGTGCGCTGTGCGGCTCAAATGGTCGTCTGGTGCTCCCCCGCGACCTGCAGACCTGCACTCACGGCAACATTTCTGTCGTTTTGCGACGCATGCTGCCTCCATGCTGCCACGTGTCGTGATCCCGTGTCATGCCGCCACGTGTCGTGATCCCGTGTCATGCCGCCGCGTGTTGCGATCCCGTGTCATGCCGCCGCATGTCGTGATCCCGTGTCATGCCGCCGCATGTCGTGATCCCGTGTCATGCCGCCACGTATCGTGATGCCCCGCAATCTCGCATCCTCTGAAGTGACTGGCAGCGGATGCAACCCGAAAACCACAGCCGGCGGCGCGCGTCGAACGTCCCTCCCCCCCCCCCCCCCCGACCGCAGCCCCGCGCCGCAGCGCCCGGCTGCTCGGCCGCAGATGGCCTCATCGGGCACCCTCTGTCGGCAGATGCTGCGCCGAGACGGTCTGGTGCCGGCGCGCTTCCTCAGCATCATGTCGCACCTAACGCTCTGCCTGGCCCTGCTGATGGCCCGGGTGAGTGGTGACAGCACGCGGCACCGCCCACCGGAGAGACTGGCGGCGTGGTGGCGCCCTGTCGGTCCCCTGCCAGCCCCCGCCAGCCTCCGCCGCCGCGCCGCCGCGCCGCCGCGCCGCCGGGACGCTGGGGCGCAACTAGCGGCCGTCTGCAGCGATCAAGAAACTGTTGCGAAGGATGATGCTTGTTTTTTTTTTAGATCCGGTAACTCGTGCACGCGCGCACACGAAGCAGTAGGCACGCACACAGGCTTGCAGCTTTAATGTTCGAGGAATGCAGTTTTTTGTTCGGGCGAGTGCATGTTTGCTTGCTCGAACCGTCTGAAGAAAACGTAAACAAGTGCACGTGGCTAGTGGCTGTCGAGCTTGTTTTATCAATCGCGACCCCTCTGGGTTTCCTTGGCCTCGTACTTGTGAGTTTAGGTGTGTGATGCATGAGAAGACGCGCTTGGCGTGGCTCCTCTCTGTTTTCTGCCCGTGTTGTCCAGCTCCGGCGGCTTGTCATTTTTAAGGTCTGTCGCAATCTCAGCTTTTGCGTGCTCCCCGGATTCGCTGTTTTCGTTTCACTGTCCTCTTTGTTGGCGTATGCCCTATTCCTCTCATTGCGCAAAACGTGGACAGGTTCCAACGCTTTGTTATTGAGATATCGGCAGGTATTTTTTAATTGAATTGTCAGTGTATCTTGTACCGGGCGACTGAAATGATGGCGCGTTGTAAGCTTCAGCAATTCCGGTTATCTGTGCTATGTGACAGACGGTTCCTTCGCGCATTAACCTTGCGCGTGCCTGGTCGCATTAATAATTTTACAACGTTTTCACTAGCAGTCATTCACATGTGCAACCTGCACAAGCGTTGCCAGGCCTCAGGCCAAGCCATTCGAAAACTATTCGCTCTATTTTCTGGTCATTATGTTTTGTACTGTATCAGCTCGCGCAACCAAGACCACCGGAACAGTGTGTTTTAATTTCAGAAGTAGCGATCGAGGCCCATTTGTTCCTTTTTATGTGGAGATGCAAATTTATAACTGCATGTTATGCATGCAGTTATGTGTATGCCATGCATGTTAGCTGTGAGGCGATTAGGACGGCGGGCAGTTCGATACGCTGTGTGATTGTCCAGCGTTCTCCCTCGACTCCAACCACAGGGACGTGTGTAGTGGTACGTCTGTACACGCATATGACTGTTGCACTCATGAGTACCATACCGATGTCACTTCAAGAGACAACATTCATGTGAATGTTACGGAGCAGATGGATGATCATCGTTGTTGTTGACGAAGTCAAAATGCCAGATGCGGCTGACAAAACGTACTTGTCACTCGCTGGTTTCATGGCAATTACCGCTTGCGGTGTGCCGCCAAAGCCAATGACAAATCGAGACAGCATTTGTTTAACACCACAGCATGACGGGGTGGGCGCTGCACCAGCGCAGACAATGCACGCCAGAGCGGGTCCTGATGAGGAGCCGGGCTCCTGTTCCAGGAGGACAACGTGGAGGCGTGCCTGCCGTTTGAGTACAGCCCAGACGAGTTCGGCGCCAAGGACACCCAGTGAGTACGGCAACAGGCTGCGGCGGCGGCCGTGCATGGGCGGAGCAGGGCTCACGACGGGAGTCACTTGGAAGGCGTCTGATGCGGTCACTTGGGAGGCCGGCTCGTGATAAGGTCACGTGGGAGACCGGTTCGTGATAGGGTCACGTGGGAGACCGGTTCGTGATAGGGTCACATGGGAGACCGGTTCGTGATAGGGTCACATGGGAGACCGGTTCGTGATAGGGTCACACGGGAGACCGGCTCGTGACAGGGTCACATGGGAGACCGGTTCGTGAAAGGGTCACACGGGAGACCGGCTCGTGAAAGGGTCACATGGGAGACCGGCTCGTGATAGAGCCACGTGGGAGACCGGTTCGTGATAGGGTCACACGGGAGACCGGCTCGTGATAGGGTCACACGGGAGACCGGCTCGTGATAGGGTCACATGGGAGACCGGCTCGTGATAGGGTCACGTGGGAGACCGGCTCGTGATAGGATCACATGGGAGACCGGCTCGTGATAGGGTCACGTGGGAGACCGGCTCGTGGTAGGGGCACATGGGAGGCCGTCTCCTAATAGGGACACATGGGAGACTGGCTCGTGATAGGGACACATGGGAGACCGGCTCCTAATAGAGACACGTGGGAGACCGGCTCGTGATAGGGTCACATGGGAGACCGGCTCCTGGTAGGGACACATAGGAAATCGGCTCCTAACAGCAGACCCATGGGAGATCGGCTCCTGGCAGGGCACATCAGAGACCACCTCATGATGGGAGGCCCATGGAACATCAGCTTCTGATTGGGACGCATTGGAGACCGACTCCTGGTGGGACACAGGGATGACGGACTCCTGATGGGGACTCAGGAGACACCAGATCCCAGACAGGGATCCATGGAAGACCGGCTCCAGCGGAGATCATTAAGCATGGGGCGCTACCGGAGACCGCGTGAAGACAGCCGTGGGCGGGGCCGTGGGATAGGCCGTCCCCGCAGAGGGTGCGTGGGAATAACGCAGGCCGCTGCCCGCGGACTCGTGAGAAGAGTCCCGGGCTGGTGGCCCTCCCACTGGTAATATGTCACGAGCCGCATCTCGACAAGTGGTGTGGGAGCCAGCCGCGCTGGTGACCATAGCTGTTGCATGCGCCGGTAAACGATCCGGTGATTAATGCTGCTGGCCTCGCGGGACCCAGGACCGCAAAGACCAGTTCCCTGGATGCCCAGCCCGGTGGTCTCTCACACGGCGTCTCCTGGTTACCTCCACGGCGAGTCACGTAGACTTATGTTGATGACGCAACTGGACTCGGGTGAAAAACTGTGGTGAAACCTCAGGACCATTTGTGTCTTATAATAGCACCGGTTGGTGCCACTGCAGCGCTATCAGGATATCAAAATGAAATACATTTTGATTTTTTCGGGTCCAAATTACGCTGTCAACCCTTTGTAACAGCACTACACTTCTTCCTTGCTTGACAGCCCCAGGGTGTGTCCCGAGTCCGGGACAGTTGCATTTGTCGTAACCGCCATCGTCACGACTACGGCAGAGTCTGCTGATGGCTGTTGTCGGCTTTTACGGATCAAAGGTACCACTTTTCAGCTGTTTTAATCCGCACATTGCGGGCCTGCGGTTGTAAAACCGGCACCTCCACTGGTGTGAATGACGTCAGGACCAATGAACGTTTGTGCTTGGCACAGTGGGTGGCATGGGCTTGGTAACGAGAAGCGCATTGGTTGAAGGTTGAACCAAGACCCTATGGCAGTGACGCAACTTTCTCCAAAATATCAGCCCGCAGCCCAGCCCGCCTCGCCTAGCGAGTGAGTCAGCCCGCGATAGTCCGCTATGCTACAATTCTGATCTGCCATTAACCCGCAAGAACTGACTTTTTGCTATATGCATTTTATCATTTCACTTTAATTTTAAACATATGCATTAAAGTGTCCATAAAATAGCATGTTCTTGTCCAACACGTAGCATGGTTTTGCTAACACCAGTGGTTGTGCTCAGAAAACGGCAATCATACTTCATGCACAATGGAGTTGTGCAGGTGGCATGATCATTTCGTCACATGCCGTTTCTGCTAAAATCGCATGCATCAACTAATAGCTTTGCGCTGATGGGTAAAAAATGTTGGATGTTCTTAGTCATGGGAAGTTTCAGTTTCTTGCGATTTACATAAGCTCAAAGCTCAAAGCTCATGGGACTGTTTCTTAATTTCAACGATGTCAATTTCCATGAAGGAAACAGGGCCAGGTATATATGGTATTTGGTATGGTGTTTGCTATATGGTATTTGCTGTCTTTAAGGGGATATATTATGCAACCATACTATGTAAACACCTCATGGTAGCTTTGCAATGATCTGCACTTTTCTATAACCACCACCCACATTCCAGTCCACCACCACCGCCCACGTTCCAGGCCATAAACAAACTATGTCACCACTTTTCAGCTTCGACAACTGTGGCGCAATAAATGCGCCAGTAACTGTTGGTTGTATTGACAAGTGAACGAAGCAAGGGCGATGAAAGGCTCACAGTTTCCTATACATTTGGATATTGATTTTGATTTGTGAGGGACGTGTTTTGTGTAGACCAGGGAAGGTTGAGTGCACCACACCGGCACAATAAGAGCCAAGTGCGGTGTAGCTGCATGCATATTTTGATTTGTGAGGGATGTGTTTTGTGCAAACCAGGGAAGGTTGAGTGCACCACACCGGCACAATAAGAACGAAGTGCGGTGTAGCTGTATGTATATTAAGGGGTCCACCTAACTGCTATTTAATGAGGTCGGGCTACAGTTTTGATTTCTTATTCCTGAATTTTCAGTGAGTTGTTTGCTCTAAGCGGTTCAATGTGCAACCTGGTTTACTGGTTTGTCATGTCGGCCATGGGCTTTCTGCCACCGGTCCTCGTGCTGTAAACAAAATACAATTATGTTTGTTCCATGATTGTGTTGTGTTTGGCAGCACACTCTGGTCTCGGGATGTTTTTAAAACTTTAGAAATAGTAAAAAAAATGCATGCTTTGGCGCACTCAAAGCTTTGACCCACAAAAGCCTGCCAAGTCTGGTCCATAACCCAGCTAAAAGTCCGCGGGTTCCTGCTGGTCAGAAACTGGCGGACTGGTGGGCTGAAGAGTTGCGTCTCTACCCTATAACAAAGGTTGAATGAGTGTGTCTCTATAGAACACGTGATACTACATTTCCCAAAGCCAAGGTGTGTTCGAAAAACGATACTTTGGTAAAAGCCATTAGGGGAGAAATCAAAACCATACTATAACGTTTCGCTGAATTCGCGAGATAAGAGCGTCATGTTTGCGCATTTGTCTTCTCTAAACCGGGTGTTTCAAGCTTTTGTGGCATTTATTGCGCAAGCATTTTGCGAGATTGGAGCATTGCAAAAAAAAAAAAACATTGCATCACACATACACATACACATACCAAACATTGCATCACACATACGTTGGAAAAAGCTAGGCAAAGGTCATTTATTACTTTCATAGCGGTGAACTGGGACTTCAGTGAGATTTCTCCCACATGAGCGAGTACTTCGGATCCAAACTCTGACCTTTTTAGAAGGACTTCGAGAAACTGGCATTGCCGATCAAATCGGATACATCTCATGTAAAATAGGTGAGAAGTGTAAAAAGGTGACACGCTCCCTTTAAAACGGCCCAAAACGTGAGGCGACCTTTTCTATGTGAGTGTCCTTTTGAAGTCCTATGTATCCCATAACGGAAAATAGGCATTCCTTGCATGAACTGGTATCTTTGCCGTTTTGGACGGAACTGTTGGCGGAATATGAGCTCCCGCATATAGGCGTCCCGCGCTGAAATATAGTGGAATATGGACAAGGAACAGGCGCCTTCATCATGGAATGGCACCTCTGTCATATCAACCGACACCAGCCATAAACACTCCTCCATGTCTCTGTGATGTTAAGCGGACTCTAGACAGAAAACGGACGCCGTTTCATAACTGAACTTCCCGATGATCACAAGAGAGGAATGTAGTAAAGATGAGGGTATTCTCTGTGAATGGCGCACATGTGATATCAAGCTGAGTTAGCAACGAAAACACACTACGTCACAAACGTGAGTGCGCATTGGAGGTGATGGCGGAGGATGAGCGGCGCCGTAGAAGGGTCCCCTTGCGATACAAGAGGAACTGGCGACGTAAAAGAGAGGCGCATTTTCTCGGCAGGGTTCCCTGTGGTTGTGTGCGTAATTACTGACGGCAATGGTTCTGGATACCCTCTTTATTGGTGAGGTAATGATAGATGTCTGCGCCTCAGTTGGAGCTATTCCGGTAGTTATCTAGCCTGAAATCGATTCTTCCCACGGACCGAATTAAAAACCCAGCGCCATTCATTGTTTCAGCTGCCAGATCGGATGAAGATTGATAGCGATTGTGTCATGAGGTCATCGGTAAACTTTTCCTGCACCTGTGCTCCGGTTTTTGAACCGTAGGTCTTCAAAGGATTGCGACTCCCATTGTTCTTTTTCGCCAAATGGTGATCTAGGCAGCAGCTGGTGAGCAATGCATGCAGCAACGTAATCGATATTCTGTAGGACCAGTCGAACGCCCAGGTAAGCGCAAGCAAACAGGGATGTGCTCTTGACTTGGCGAAATTCAGGTGTCGCGGCCCCTGCCATGCGCCGGTCCTCCCAGTCAGAAAACACGAGACCAAGCCGACTTACACCGAACTTCGCCTGGTGCCCATGGCATTCTTGGTGGCGGTGACCAACAGCAGGACTGCGTCATGTCAAACAGTCGATGCAGCCGTACGTCAGAGCAGCCAGCAGTTGTACCGACAAGCGGGCGCCATCGGCTCTGGAGTGGCCGCCGGCTCCGCCGCCGTCACAAGAGCCCGCAGTGCGGCGGAGAATGTTCGCTCCGCTGGTGACTGAACAGGGCCGATTCCCTCGCAGCGTGCTCGCTGATGAGGCGTGCGGCTGCGCCGGGAAGGAGCCGCCGCCTGCGCACTCGGACGGGCGCTGAACGAGCGTGCACGAGGACACT